TTTTCTTGGATTGAGTGATGCTTGTTTATGGAGTCTTCTCTTTGCTAGGAAACACATGGAGAAAGTGTATCTTGTACTTTACTCTGTTATTGGGAGAAGCAGTTTCTAGTCTTCCTTTTGTATCTAGACATTATTGAGACAAAAAACTGATAGGCATTGTTGTGTTCCAATTCCACAAGACATGCACGACAGCCTCTGAGAGGCTCCTTTTAAACTACCGCTTCCCCATGACCATTACCACCTGAGATATATTCCTAAGAGAACATACTTCTGTTTTGAGTAGGTTTTTATGAGAATTGATAATTTTCCACATGCAGCATAAAATAACCAAAGACTAAACTGGTGTTACAGACATTAGATGCTGGTATCTGATATTTCAAACTTTGTTTTCCTCTGTTGGTTCAAGACTTAATAGCATATGTTATACGATCAGGCACCAGGTCTACTATTCTGTGTCTTTAAAGCTCACAAAATTTGCTGCTGGGATGACCAGGAATAACTAATCTCAGAAATGTTCATAAATTTCATAGATATTACCAGATATGATCAAACTTAATGAGTCTACTTTATCTTCCACATGGTTGGGTGCAAGAGCACCAGTCAACACCACTTAACTTGAGGAAAATTAGAGTTGCAGAGGGAAAAAAATGTGGTTACGATATATTACATAGTGCTTTTGGCGTATTTGCTGTTCTTCCAAAAGACCCAAGTGCATTTCCCAAGCACCCATGTCTTACAGCTCATAAATTCCTGTAATTCACCTACAGGATGTTTGAATTTCTTTTCTGGGCTCCATAGTCACCTGTACATGTGGGACATACACACACACACACACACACACACACACACACACACACACACACGCATGCACACACACACACACATAAAAACTTTAAAAACATATATTCATCTTGTTTACTTTTGCTTTTGTGAGTGTTCTGTGAGGAGGATAGAGGACAACTTGTGAGAGTTATTTCTCTTCTTCCAAGGTGTGGACCCTGGGGATTGAACTCGGGTTGTGAGGCTGCATAGAAAGTGCCTTTACCATGGAGCCATTTCACTGTATTACTAGTGCTAATGTATAAAATATCTGAGTGTATTAACTCACTGTAATGACCTTCTTGTAGCTTTATTAGAGGCCACACAAGGGAGGGCTCTTCATGCTTAAATCAAGTAGTCCCAACCTCCACCAATGACTATAGATGGATACCTCGGACAAGCTAAATCTGAGGGGAAATTGAGGGGTGCTGTTCAGGTTCCCTCTTTAAAACCACATTTATCTCGTGTACCAGTGAGTGCCAGCCACTGCAGAAGAGATCCTTAAGTCAAAAAATTATATGCTCATCTTCCAAGTACATGTTATAGGCCACAAAAACAGCTCACTTAAAAACTCTCTAAACTGTCTAGGGCCCCTGGTAAATTATCAGTGGTTATTAGGGATTTACCTATAGCATGATTCTTTGGTGTGTTATGTGTTTGTATTTAAAAATGTGAAACGTGTCACTCATAGCTCTGTAGTTAGAGGAGCAAAGCACACAGGTGATTTTTGTCACCATCGTGCAGAATATAACAGAATGTTCTGTACGCATTGGAAATTAAATGACATTGCTTGAACCAATACATCACCACATTACTTCAGTGCTTCAGTTTTAGAAATGTATCTTCTTAGTTTGCTATCAAATTAAAGATATCATCTACCATCATCCCTTACCAAGTTGGGGAACAGTTTTGCATGATTTTTGTAACATATTGTTCTTAGAACTGAGAGGAAGCCAGCCAAGCAACATATAAAACAGGGTCCCAGAGGACACAAACATCATCTAGAACTCTTTGAATATCCACTGAAACATAAATATGTAATTGCTCTCTTTTCTTGGAACATCATTATTCTTTTAAAGTAAATTTCATTTTGCAATATAATATAGTTTATACACTCTTTTACTTTCAAAGCTTTTGATTTCAACATATAATCTTTATTGATACTGTAAATTCTACCTTTAACAGTCTCCCAAACAAATGTATATGATACCACATCTCAATTTATACTAGTACCATATCAAATGCTAGATAACCCCACATACCCAGGGTTTTCCTTATCAGGCATTGTCAAAGTATGATACTGTAACCAGTGAATTCTAAGTAATGCTCCTCCTCCTCCCCAGTGCTATCTATGTCTTTCACATGTATATTTTGCACTTCTGCCTACTAGCAGCATCTGGTCTCTAGCTTTGTATTTTGTTGTTTTGAGACATCCACAGTAGGCTCCTGTATACATTTATTGAATAAAAAATAAATCAGACCATGTAGTTATACTCAAGGGCTGAAGTTTTATTACAGTCTTGCTTGAGAGATTTTAATAAAGCCCCTTAATGGGAAAATTCAAAGATTGACTCTTGGTAGGTATTTTTTAAGGGAGAGAAGGAGTGAGTAACCTTGTTAGATTATCTATTAAATGTGGATAATCATGTTAGATACAGAAAGAAAAGAAAATCTCTTAAAGGTCACTGGATTCTTGACTGACAGCCAACTGGCAGTCAATGGAGTGAGGTCCCAGAATACAGCTTAATCCTATTAGAGTTCAGCAGAAAAATCACTTAGCATTTTGTTAAGAATACTAATTTCTCACTAGAAAGAGGGTTCTGGGAACTACATCATCCCCCCAAATTTTCCATCTTTTTACATAACTGGTTTTTTGGCTCTTTTCCTTCTATGCTGTAACTGCCTATGAAATTGGTTTTATTTTCCAGGTCAATTTTGTAGAGTTTTTAGTTCATACTCTCCCCCCTCCTCTTTATTTTTTATCTCAATGTCAGGTGTTGTAGACAAAGTTTTAGGATAACAAAATAAGGACAGTAGGATGAGATCAAAATCTTACACACTACCTTAAATAATGTAGGTTTTATATTTCACCTTTGGAGACTCACCCATGGAAAAGCCAAGGAAAACTGAAGTGTGATTGTTGTGTTAACCATACTAGCATTAGTTTCTTGAAACAGCTTCAAGTATCTGAGATTTAGGTCTGCACCAAATGATAACATTTAACTATTAATCAGCTGGTTCAGATACTAATCTGCCACCAAATGTTCCTCATAATTTCCCAAACTTTTCCAGAATTCATTCAAGGATGTTTGCTTCTTTTAATCCCCTTTTCTTTTACAAACTCAAATGCTCTGTTCTTCATATTCTATCACCTAGCTTCTTGCAGTTTGCTTTTTTTCAAACCATCAAACAGAATTCTTTTGATTTGCATAAAATAGTCCTATGACAGGCCATTTGTCTAAGCAGAATGTAAGTTAATTGGAGCATCTGTGCCAAGCAGGTACTCACGAAAGCTAAAACCAAATGGTTAATGATGAAATATCAAGGAGATCTTTTCAAAGAACTGTCCCTAGGTCTGGTTCTTGACTACAGTATATTTTAATGTCTCTCATCTCACTTGGGGATGCCACTTCTCATGCGCAAATAATTCTTACCTCTTGTGGTTAGAGAAGCAGTTTAGTGGACAAGAACACTTGCAGATTTTGCAGAAGAGCCAAATCCAGTACCCAGCAACCCACAAGGTGGCCCACTACCATCTGTAACTCCGGTCCTGGGGATCCAAAGCCTTTTTCTGACTTTCAAGCATACTACACCGGCATGTGTATATACCACAGGCAAACATTCATAGTTACAAAGTAGTAGCTGACCAACACAAAATAAATTCCATTTTTACTGTTGTTGTTTTGTTTTTTGGTGAGCTTTTTGTTTCATTTTGTTTACTTTCGCCTTTTTTACTTTTGTCTTATTTGTCTCTTATTTGTTTGTTTTGATTTTCTTTCTTTTTAAATTCTAAGATCTCTGTTTCTGAGACCTTATTCCACTTTCCTGGAACACTTGTAGGCTGCCCCAATTCTTTCTGTGTCATCATGCAAAACAACCAAATTCTCTTAGTCTTAACACGTGGACACCAGAGTGAGCTTGATGACTTTCTGTATTAACTGTCCCATCATACACTAGGTCACAGCTGTGTTCTACCTGAGAAACTGGGTCGTTGAAACTTAGACTGTCCTTTCCCATTGACTTCATGCAAATACTTCAACAACCTTAGCCATAATCCAGGAAATGCAAAATATAATGCTACTCCCCTTGTGGCTGGGGTGACAGCTGGGCTCAGGCAGGAACTTCTCTCACTATCAGGCACAAGGATCCAGTCAAAAGTAAAGGATAAAAACCTCTTCTGCAATAAGTTGATTGGGTGGTAAATGCAGGCTATGGTGTAAAATTACTGCTTTTGCCAAGGAGCACTTCCACCTAATGACAGGTTCTGGTTCTGAGCCATTTTCCCCCAAAGCAGCCCCCAAAGCACATCTCCCATCTGAAAACAAAAACAAAATTCAGTGTAAGTGAAACAATACACTCCTTAGAAAATAGCTTTCCTCTGTGGCCTGTTAAAGAATGGTTGAAGTTTTTTTTTTTTTTTTCAATAGCTGTTGTGGCCCCTGTGAGAGAAAATGAAATTGAGGCTGGCAGGTTCATCCCAATGCCCCACTTCTGCCTTTGTGTTCACATAATGCTGGCACTAAGCAGAACCAAGTGAGAGCAAGCAGTTCTGAATGTGTGTGTGTGGGAGGGGAGTGGGGGTTGAAGCACAGAAGCAAAGGGCTCCTGGGGACTGTAACCTCTGAGCAGTCACACACTCAGTTCAAAGTCAACACAATCAGCGTTGCCGCATCTCCTGTTTTCAGCTGGGCTCTCTGGGAGCCAGAAATGAAACAGTGTTTGAAAAGGCTGCGTAGACTGGGGCTGCCAGTGCTCTTGTTTGTCTTGAGCCTTTGGGGTCACATGCCTTTTCGCCTTGTCTATTTTATCATTGTCTACCAAAGTGTGAGTGGCAAATGGGTTACACAAAGCATTTTGCTTCAGGTTGAGATGTTTTCTCATAATTTATCAGCTGCATGTAAAGTGTTTTGTGGTATTGAGGTGACTACGAAACCCTAAAATTCTTGGCCTTTCTCTTTTAGGACTCGTGCATTTGGTGGCGATGTCCTGTTTTCCTGCTTTTGATTATGTAGCACTTATTAACTGCATTTACAAAATCATTAAAAAAGGTAAGAACTTTCCCCCAAATTTTAATTGTCAGAGGAAGGAATGATTAGTGGAAGAAAAGCTAATAAGTATATATTAAAGGCATGTAGCTCCCTCAAGATCTTTAAAGCATATATCCTATGCTCTCCTATCTAACCCTCAAAAAAAATCTCCTTATGTAGGAGACTCATGCCCACCTCACAAACAAGGTAAATAAACTATTAAATCCACAACCTCAGAAACATATACATGCATACACAAACATGTATGTGTATTAATATATTATATGTATATATTTCAGGTTTTCATGCATGTATATATGTACATGAATAAGGTATATATGTCATACCTTGTAGCCAGTAGCATTCATTAAGAATTATTACATTTCATTGTTGGTACAAAGTGAATGTGTTGCTCCTAATTACATGTTATTTTGCATAGCCAAAGGAGGCAATTAAGAAAAGAGGTTTCATAAGCACTTGCTTTAGTGTGCTATGAATGCCTTATTTAGACCTGACTTTAGACACAGGTCAAGAGCTACAGAGAGCAATAAAGCCTCATTATAGAAAAGTCACACAGAGCCGTCTATTCCAAGCTGTATCCACAGTGTTTCCACCAGCCACACTCTGCACTCTTGATTCCAAGTGCCTGTGGCAGTTTTGAGAAATTCAGTCAACTCTCAAAGGGCCGAGTTTTGCCAAGAGTTGTCACTGGTTAGTACAGAGAAGAGTTAGTACCAAAGGCAGTTCCCCAAAAGAACAGTTTCAGGTGTTTCCAGCCAGGGCTGCCCTGTTGATAGGAACACTTAGAGCCCTGCAGCGACAGTTAGGAGAGGGATTGCAGTCATCTGACTGTAAATGCTTTTGCCAGCTGTCTAAAAATACCACATTCTTCATTTATGTGTACCTGTGTGTGAATAAATGTGTGAGCACACACGGTTATCCCTGGAGCATACTGTTTATTTTTTCTTGCAGGGCTGGAGATTGAACCTAAGACCTCACACATGCTAGACAAACATTCTACCACTGAGCTATATCCAGCCCTACTTTTGTGTGATTAAAATGTATTTAATCATCAGATGACCACATTCAAGAATATATATATTCAAAAAGAACATCACAATTTAAGACAGTAATGTGGTAATACCTAATATATATATATATATATATATATATATATATATATATATGTATATGTGTGTGTGTGCATCTTTACATATAGCTATAAACATATATACATTTCAAACTTTAAACATTTGTGCACATGTGGAGTAAGTACATATGTGTGCCTAGGAGGCAGAGAATGGCAACCCAGTAATGGCAATATTTTATAATATCAATGAAATTCACAATACAGGGCAGGGAAAGTGATCAACAGAAGACATGGCTCTAGGGAAAAATAAACTTCTGTTTAAAATAGAAAGGTTAGATGGTCAATTAAAATGACAGAAGTTCAGGATGTTAATTGAGATTCAGTCTTCTAAGAGCTTTCAGTGTCAGAGCAATACCTTAATTATAAGCCAAACACAACTTTAATCTGCCTGCTATTTGCTGCCAAGGACAGGCAGTGTGTAATTTTGCCCTATTAAAGCATGCCATAGAAGGAATCAGAGGAATTTCTTGTATCTCAAAGACAATCACTACATACAGACAAGACAAATTTTAGTCCCAGTTTATGCATTTGTATTGCTATTTTGACTGGCAGTGTGCCTTTCTCCGTTTCCATCTATTCTGTATGCTACATTTGCATGGATAGGCACTCATCACCAATGAAGGCAGAGAGAAATCAACTAGCAAAGGCCTACAGATATGCAGAACTGGAGAACTATATGCTGTGAAACACCTCACATCTACCACCTTGATGGCTTTCTGCTTCAGATTGCAACTAATATTTAGATTTTGCTTATTTTGAGTGATTACCTTAGCCTTTTAAAATTAACGTAATGGAGATAAAATAGACAGAGAATCAAGTTCATTAAGTTTCAAAGCTCTTAATACATGAGCAGTTACTACAAGTTTGTATAATACTGCATATATGTTTATGTATGATCACACATTTTATGAATATTGTATACATTGTAAATACCACATATATTGTTTACAAGTTTGTTTGTGTAATGAGTAGTGGGGATTTAACCCCCAAATGATGCTGTGATAAAATGTGTAAGTGTTCATATGGGAATAAGTGAGTGGAGTGGGAGAGAGCCTGATCAATAGCCATTCTTCTCTAACTAGAATTTTATCCGTGTGAAATTAGGTAAAAAAGTGAAGTGGGAACTAATAGGGATGAGTCACATTTGCCTGTCCTTGTGTGCCTGTTTTAATTCTCATCCATTTGTGTTGGTGAAATAAACTTTGCTTGAGTTATTTGCAGCATAGAACTGCAGATTCTACACATGTGGGATTTTGTTTGTGTATATGTTTGTTTTGTTTTTCTTCCTGGAAGGGTGTATTAAATATTCACCAGCAAAGTCCTATAAAGAAACCAAAAATTTGCAACAAATACGAGTGATATTGGTGAAGTGAATGTCTTAATGCTAAACATAGGGTATGAACTTGAAATTCTCATCCAGACAGCCTTTGGGCATCTATTCCTAGTGTGGCAGAGCTCTCAAATCAGTTCACTTCACAGGCTACTGTCAAAATTCAAAGTTGTGCATAGGCAGACCTGCTTCAAAAACAGAGTGTCTCAGTTCTACAAATCATATTCCTTCCCCTATGTGCACCAATCAGAGATACAAGCCATCTTCCAAGAGAGGAAGTAAGATAGGTAACAATAGGGCCAGGGATTTTTATAGTAATGGAGTCCCTTCACTTTGAAGGAAACATGGAATGTGTGGAAGAATTTTCCCTCCCTTGCCATGGAGCCTAACCCTAGATCTAGGTCAGATCTTCTCAGTATTCTTTGGGTCTGTCATTAATGTTGTTGTAAGAGTGGCTTTAACCGCTTTACAATTAGCTTTAGAAGTTGTCTCAGATGATTTCAAACAACGCTGATAGTACGTGTCTATTATTCACAATTCCAGGTTTCTTTATCTATGGTTTGCTGCCACAATAGCTTGGATTCTATGTCAGTGCACTTGTCCATTCTGAAGAACTGATCCTTTCCACTTTGCAACTCCACCTCTTGACAGGTCACTTTTGAAAGCTTTTAGTAGAGGCCAGATGACAGAAGTGCTCTGACCTTCTTTTATATGGGAGCAAAGCCAGTATGAACAAATAAGCTGTTATACTAATGTGTAGAGAACAGGTCTATTTTGTGATACTATCCAGCAACTGAAGTAAAGCCCTTTTATTTCTTGAGCTGATTGTTATAGATAATTGTCATTTCATCTGAAGGAATCTGTCACTAAAATTCTCATAGAGAATTCTATACCATTCCATAACTTATCCATTCTGTAAAGTCTAGGACTCTCATTGTGTGAATGCCTAACTTTCCTACTCCAGATCATTCCCTAATGTTGTTAAATTTTTTTAATCAGTGGACAAGGTTAAGTGTCTTTCCTCTGTATCTTTTGTTTCTATAAAATACAATGTTTAGTAGAGGTATCTGTGAACACGTAGGGAGTCAAGATGTTCTGCAATATCTAACTCATCATCTAAAAACTGTGTGCCTGCCAGGGCCGAGCCATTTACTTTCCAAATGTTCTGTGCTTGGATATCCATGAGTTTCAGGATAATTTAAACCATATGAAACAAATAGAATCACCATGTTCAACTAAGGATGGCCCTTTGATCCCAATTCCATTCCCTGTTACAATATGCCACCACGTGTCCTGTCGAAAAAATTCTAACAACAAGAAGAAATTGGAACTTAAATGAGCGTGATTTACAAAAGAAATGGAAGTGAAAGTCATTTTATTTGATCTTCTGAAGGCATTAGGATGAGAGAGGAAATCTCCTCTGCAGGAGGCAGGGCCACTTTGCAGAGCAAGAGCTGCTGGGTTTGCAGCTGCTGTCAAGTAAGAGCCAATAGAGGCAGCACTGGTCACCTCAAAACTAAGTTCTAATGAGGAGAAGAAAGGCAGATGGGCTGCCAGTACAGCTTGTTGTCCTGTTGCTACAGTGTTGAGTAAAACATTGCATTGTTGCAGTTTCTCCACATGGTTGTAGATTGCCCTCTGTGTATTGGTGATGTTCAAATCAAGGGGAGAAAATAATTATGCCAATGAAGCATGTAAAAGAAAATTGACTAACAAGGCACATGTGAAAACAGTGAGACAGATTTGTTAGGACTGTTGCTTCAGGGGACGATGACTTCAGTGGAAACTGAGTTAAACTACACTGAAAATGGAAGCCTTTTAAAGTGATGACTGGAAAGTCTTTAATGACACTCTTCTTTGCTAACTGATGCTGGTGAAGTGAGGTTCATACCTTCTGCAGTGTGTGTGTGTGTGTGTGTGTGTGTGCGTGCGTGCGTGTGTGTGTGTGTGTGTGTGTGTGTGTGTGTGTGAGAGAGAGAGAGGTGAGAGAGAGAGAGAGAGAGAGAGAGAGAGAGAGAGAGAGAGAGAGAGAGAGAGAGGGAGAGAGAGAGAAAGCCAAAAGTCAACATTGGTCATTATTCCTTAGGTTGCTGCTTGGGTTTTGAGACAGTTCACTGCCTTGGAATTCTCTGAGTACTTTAAACTGGTTGGCTAGTGACCCCCAGACATCTACCTGTCTCGATTTTCCCATTCTGTCATTATAAACATGTGTTGCCATGCCCAGATTTTATTTCATTTTTTGATGTGGTTTCTGGGGATTGAAAAGGCAAACCCTTCACTTGCTGAGTTATTTTGCCATCCCGTCTGTTGCCTCATTGTTTTCAGGCCTTGGAATTACACAGTTTTGTGTCATAGAAGGTACATTTTGACGGGGTGTTGAAGGTTTGACAATTCTTTGTTGTAGTGTAAACACTGCAATTCTTTGGACGTTTTTCTCAGGCAGGAATTTTAAGAGATGGAAGGCAATACTCATCCTTAAGAACTTGGTTCTGGGTTGATTAAACACATGCTGAGACCTGGTCAAATCTCCTGGTGTGGA